AGGTTTCTCTTTCGGAATAGGTGTAATGTTAGCTTGTTTCCAGCATGAGGGCAGTCTTTTTTGCTTGTAGGACGAATTCAATAAGTCCGATACAGAGGGAGCAAGGATTTCGGCATAATCACGAAGAATCCAATTGGAGATATCATCAGGGCCCGGAGCTTTATGCGGGTTCAAGCTTTTCAGTTTTTTCAAGACCGATGCAGTATTTGTCAAATTCATGTTTACATCTAACGGATAATCAGGAATCTCCTCAAACAAGGTGTTCAAATCTGTGACATTTAAGGGATCATAAGTATTCATTGGTTCTATTAGGCTTTTGTTAATTAAATCTGCAAAACTTTTGTGTGTTAAATGTTCTGTATCTTCGACATGAAGTTGGTTAAGCAAACTGCCAGATACAGGTCTCATACCGGAGATACGTTTAACCTCTGTCCACCAAGATTTGGGGTTAGACTTTTTCAGATTAGCAACTTTTGAAGCAAAATAGTCTGCCCGGCAAGATTTTCTCATTCTATTCACTTTATTTCGGTAGAATTTGAAAAGAGTAGTGTTATTAGATGAAAACGCACGTTGTCGAAACTTGATCAGCTGTTTCAATTTTTCGGTTATCCATGGGTTGTCGTTGCGATGGAATTTAACGTGTTTCTCAGGCATAAGGATGTTATAACCCGTCTTTATTGCGGAGCATAAGATATCACAATTCTTATCGCACGGTTCGGAGGAATCGATAAGTTGCCAGTCAAAGTTACTCAGATATCGACCAAGTTCTTTTTTGCGTGATTGACGTATGTCTCTTTTTATTACTGTCTTTCTACTTGTGGTTTCTGATGATGTTTTAATTTTGGGCTCAACCATTATCACATTATGGTCTGATAATCCGAAAGGAGGGAAAACCATGGCTGGTTGTACATCGTAAAATTTATGCATGTTTGTAAGTATAAGATCCAAAATCTTGGCACCACGAGTTGGTTTATCAACCAATTGTTTTAACTGAAAATCTCGGCAAAGACCTTTAGTGTCAAAGTGGTTAAAATCACCAGCAATAATAATTCCACAACCTGGAAAAAGACTTTCCAGTAGTGTCAGTGAGTCTGATAGGTATTGAAAAAGATCTGTATTGCAGGAACTTGGAGGATGGTAGACGCACGCAGAAACAATGCCGTTAATTCCCCTTGGTAATCTTGGTGGTCTAATGTGTGTCCATAAAACCTCAAAGTCTAAATGTTCAATTTCAGGTAATCGTTTGAAACGGATGGAATTCTTTATGTACATGCAGACACCACCGTGGATACCAAGACTACGATCCCGCCTCACGAGGTGGTAATCAAATACAGTCGCGTGGGTGTCACAAACGGACTCTCGCAGCCAAGTTTCAGTTATAAAACCCAAATCAAAACTTTGTGCAGAGGTCAAAATACGTAGCTCGTCAAGCTTAGGAACTAGAGACATGACATTGGTTAGCATAATTTTTGGAACGAATTCAGTTCTTGGAGAATGAGTTTTGGTAATAGGAATTTTAACAAGGTTACTGAGATTTCGAGTACACATTGGTTTGAGTCGGCCGAAATGCTGTCTTCTAGACCTTCCCATACCGTGTACTGTAGAAATGTTTTGCAAGGGTGTCTCCGCCATTATACAAGGGTTGAGTAGCTCCCATTCTGGGTTGAGTTTATTTTCTTCTGAGTTGTGTTCATGTCATGATCTTTTGGTCGCCATGGTTTGCAAGTAACAAACGTGGGCCAGAAGTTTTCCTTCTCCACCAGTGCACTGGCGCCTGAGGGTATATGGAGTTTACACGAAAGAGTCTCTCGACGGCGGCTTCGAAAAACCGAGATAGAAGTGGGGAAAATATTTCTTTGATTGAGGTAAGAAAGGATTTGACTTTTGTTTACACTTTCAGCGATTCCCGTTACGAACAATTTCTTAGTCTTACCACGTTTACGCTGTACTCCAATAAAATCATCAGGTGACTGTCCGGCCTCAGAAACCACACTCTGCGAGGTATGCTCCGAATTCTTGCTTAGGTTATTCTTGATAGGATCTTGGTGGTTTGTTTTGGTAGCGGTTTGATTAGCCGTTTTTTCTGCGTAGGTAGGGTGATGTGCTTTCGTACTATTATTATCTTCTATATAGAAACATCAGCGGATGCACTATTTGGGTTCACTTCTATAGGATTTACGGAAGCATTCCCGTTTAACTCGTTAAACTGATTATTGTATTCTTCACGATTAATTGGCCTTGGTTCGGTAGTGCTCCCATTGTTCGTTCGAGGATTAGTCGATTCTTGTATGACAAAAGAATTATCAACACCAGCACTGTCCGCATCTACATAATCAGTAAGCTCGTCCGATACGCAAGGTTGCTTTGGCAAAGCGGAAATATCAGAATCAGTCTTGTTTTTGTTCACCAAATCTTGTAACTGAGAAGTTATATACGAGATAGAGGCCGATAGAGACTGGATTGCTTCGCCATTGATTTGTTGACCCAGTTTTAGACCTTCAATATCCGTATGCACATCATCACATAATTCATTTGATAGTTGAGTGTGGGCTGAGGCAGATACTTGTGAATTATTTGCATGATAATTACACATCCGTTTACATAACTCTCTCATGATTTCGGTCGCATTTTCTCCATTGATGGAAAGCAATCCCTTATTCTTTCTCCATAGTATAGTTGATGTATCACAACTAAACAACTTCCTATCACCTCCAGGCTGTTCCCAAGTTCCTTTGAGTTGTAAATCTTCACTTACAAACTGTTTTAGAGACTCATAAGTACCTGACCATGCAATGCATAGCTTATCGCTTAAGCTGGTTGCCATATTGTTCATTGTACAAATGAATAAACAACTTTCAATCGCTAATAATCGTCAGGATAGTCTTTCATATAATTTTTCATCCATTCAAGTGTGTTGTATTGGATTGTATTACAAAATTTTGAAATTTTAGAGAGCTCAACAAAGCACGTCTGCTCACGACCAATGCCCTCTCCTTGGGAATTCGTTTCACGGTTTCTCGTCCTCGCAACACCCAGAACCTTTCGCGCAACGTTGATAACGTGTGATTGATACCACTGTGCTTAACATCTTCGTGAACCCTTCGAATTGTCAATTTTGTGAAATAGTGTTTGGATGGGAGAAGTATCGGTCGTTTCTCTGATTCGAGGAAAGGCGCATTGTTTAATCTACCGTTACATTTTAGCATATCATCTTGATCGACATACAGTCCTAAGGACATCATACAGAACATTCGGCGGGGACGATGCTTTCGACTTACTTCGCAAGTATTTCAATTCTTCCGCGAAGCTCGATTCTTGAACACTCCAGATCCACATATTTTCAGCTCTTAAAATTTCGGCCGCAGAAAGGTTTGAACCGTGAGCAATTAGCTGTTCGTTGGTTCCCTTAACTCTGCTTTTCAAAAGGGAGATAAACCGATTGACGTATGCGGTTACTCGCAGAAGCTTCAATTTATCACTGAATCGATCACAATCAATCACGGAGGCCACGTCTGGGATTTGAGAACTAACAGCTCCAACCAACACACGCGTGACAGTTTTTGGTTGTTTGACGACCTCATCCTCTGCTGCTTTATCGATTTCTTCCTGATACCCCAGTTTAGGCCATTCTTCCTCGGGTCGTTGTAAAAATGCAGGTCCATTCCACCAAAGGGGATTGGAAAGCATCTCGTCAACTCGTATACCTCGCGATGGTAGATCGGCTGGATTCATTGCACCGGGAGAATGATTCCATGACTCTTTATCCGTCAAATTTCGAATTTCCTTAACACGTTGATTTACGTATTGCTTCCAGCTCTTCTCGTTTTTAATCCAGCACAGAACAGCTGAAGAATCTGTCCAATGAAAACTACGCAGTTCTCCGACTTTATTCGCTAGAGCATTATTCACGGAACTTGACAATCGAGCTAAAATATTGGCACCGAGTAACTCCAAACGAGGAATTGTTTGTTGCTTCATTGGAGAAACCCTAGACTTAGCTGCGACTAGACGCACGACAATTACTCCATCTTCGTAAACTGTTCGTACATAAACAACTCCCGCAAACGCACGTTCACTAGCATCGGAGAATCCGTGTAACTGAACTTGTACAATCTTCATCATCGGAACAAAATAGCATCGCGGTACCGTTATCCCACCCAATTTCTCCATCTCCAAAAGTAACTTGCAATTCTTCATCCCACTTCGTTTTCTCTTTACATAGTGCTTGGAATAACATTTTAAATCTCACTGTCACAGGACTAAGAAACCCAATAGGGTCGAAAAACTTTGCTGCAGTTTTTAATACCGATCGCTTGGTTTGAGGAAGTTGCTTCGCGTAACTTGTTATCTCGAAAAACTCGAATAAAAGTTCGTCTTCTTTTGTGTCCCAACTAAGCCCTAATATCTTTGTCTTGCTCTCGTCAACAACTTGCGGTCCCACGACAGTTTCAACGTAAGTGCAATCGTCTTCAATTACGCTTGCTTTCTCGGGTAAATCTTCTGATTTAGATACATTGATCGCCCCACATTCGCCAATTCGATCGCTTAATGCCTTCGAGTTAGACTTCCATTTCCGAAGGTTAAATCTGCCACTTTTCATAACACGCTTCGTTGATTCGTAGATTTCAAAAGCCTTTTCTTCACTCGCGGCTCCAGTCGGTAAATCATCCACACACAAATCCTGTAAAGCTTGCACAGCCTCGGGTTCAGTTTCCTTGTGTTTTTCGAGGTGATAGTTAATTGTTGCTCCCAAGATAGCAGGACTTGGTTTCAGCCCGAAAACTAAACGACAAAATCTTAAATGCAGTAGCTTGTCCGTCTCATTGAATGGGTCGTCCATCCACAAGAATCTTAAAGTACTTGTCTCGATCTTCTGGCTTTATTTCGATTTGCAGGAATGCCTTTTCAATGTCTGCAGTTTGTGCGATCGGGTAATATCGAAATTTTACCAAGGTGTCAAATAATGATGGTATGAAATTTGGACCCGTGTCCAAATGATCATTTATGGACTGTTTACTTTCGTTTTCCTTCGCACTTCCATTGAATACTACTACTCGTAGCTTTGTCGTTTCCTTCTCACTTCGCACAACACCATGATGAGGTAGGTAATGAGCTCCAGTAGTGTCAAGCGCATTTAATGGATCTCTTTCTACAATCCCGCTTTGTAACTGATCTTGAATTATATGGTTATACTCGGATAGAAGCTCTGGATCCTTCTTGAGTCTGCTGACCAACGATCGTAGACGACCGGTACAAGGTTCCAAATCACGGGTTACCAACTGCCTTTGATCCTCCTTCCAGGGCAGCCCGACTTCGTACCGTTGACCCTCGAACTTGATGTCCTCCAAAAACGTCCTTTCGTTTCTTTCGTTTGTCTCGGTTATACCCAAGGATTCCAAATCCCAAAATCTCTTAAGCGCATCACTCAACGTGCGAATCTCATTCTCAGGTGGACGAGTAGTTCCATGGCCATCGATGACCAAGTTAGCAACTGTGTAGGTGGGTACAGCACCACATAACTTGACAGGGTCTGTAAGCACCAACTCAGAACAGCAGTCTGTCTTACTCTGAACTGCAGTCGGACCCATCTCTCCCTTAATGATTTCTCCCGTCACAACTTCGTAATAATAATCTGCTCCCAATAAAATATCAATTGTTTCACTCGCACCATTAATCTCGTCTGCAAATTCAAGTCCATCCAGTTGTGGAAACTCCGCTATATCCACTCGTGTAGCAACTGGTGAACATATAACCGGAAATGCTAGGGCTCTCACTTCAATGTAAAAACACCGTCCAATCCTTGAATGCCTAGCTCAACCATTTCACAACTTTGTTTCTTAAACTGTTCTTCACCAAACGTGTTCAAATGCACTGTTTCCCTTTTCCTGGTAGACAGACCTAATCTCGATTTTAAACTACTGGTGACATAACTTCGCTGACTTCCTGAGTCAAAGAGAACCCTAACTTTTACACTTCTGGAATTCTCTGTGTTAAGAGCATAGACAGTTGCTGTCTGTAGTAAGACTTGGGTTGCACCCCTGACTCTGTGTCCTGTGTTGGCCGTCGTACTTATAACTTGTTCGGGTTTGTTCAAAGATGTCTCACTCTTTGCTGTTGCACCTTCCACGTACGTTCTGGTCTGCTGGTTTTTCCTTGTTTTCATGCCTTGGGTGATCTGTTGCACAAATCGACTGATGGTGTGATCCTCGACACTTCCTACAATTATTGACCTTGTTACATTCTCTTGCCCGATGACCTCGTTGCAAACACACAAAGCACCGTCTATCCCGTCTTAAAATTCCCTTTCGTTCATCGATACTCGTGACTTTCTCACATGAAGCCGAATAATGATATTCGCCACAATAAACACACTGTACATATTCTGCCCTTCATGCCACCTTGTGCTGCAAACAATGCAGTTGCTGTTGGATCTCTGGCACGACTTCGATTGCCATCTTGATTTCTTTGATTGTAGGGGCCACTGGTACTTGTCTTAGCTGCTTCACTAGCCTCCCGTGCTTCCACTTCAAACTTAATTGTGTTCAATAATTCATCGATTTTCCACACACCACTGGCAGACTTTCTTGCTATTTCAAGTCGAATATCATTCGGTAATTTTGCCATTATGATGGGTATCAAAAGACTGCCATACTGATCTGACGATAAGCCAAGGGACTGTAGACCCCGTACATGAACACTAAGATTGTCATATACAAAGCGTAGTGAAGCCAATCGTTCACTGGTGCATGCTGGTAATTTCAGGATCTCATCCATATGGGCTATGATTATTTGTTGGGGTCTCCCAAAACTGTCCTTTAGAATTTCGATTGCTGCGTCATAGTTTGCTGTAGTCAATGTTAAACCTTGGATTGCACGTAGGGCCGCACCTTCAAGTAAGGAATTGAGATAATTGAATTTGTCGATCTTCGAAATTACACTGTTATTGTGTATAGCCGAATTATATGAGTCCCCAAAAGGACCCCATTTGGTGACTTGACCCTTAAATTTGGGCAATGTGAGTTTTGGCAACTTGGGTTTTAAAGAAGATACCGAACTTTGATTCAATTCTGTTGCCCCATGTTCCCCCATACTACCAACTTCCGGTGGACCATTGCTCGCATTAATAATTCCACCCGATTCGCTACCGCTCTCGTGATTCGTAATATCGCTCGCGTGGATCGTTACTTCGCTCGAATTTTCGCTGCTTGTCGTCGCAATATTATTTCCATTTTCGTGTTGAATTGTCACCGTTGAGGCCTTCGTATTTCCCGTTTTCTTCGCTTCGAGTTTCACCTTATCAAGTTTACGTTTAGCACTCAGTATTCGTCCCATAACGTCTGCTGATTCCTCGATCTCGTATTCAATACTCGCAATTTCGCATATTCCCAATATTTCCTCGTCTATATCCGTTAATATTTTCGATTTTTCTTCCAGTAAAGAGCGAATAACCTCGCATCTATCGTAATCAATTTCATCCGCATGAACTATTTCCTCGGTTTCCTTAGTTAACTTCGTACAAACGCCACGATAACCGCCTCGTTTCGCCCTCAATCGATCGAGTTTATCCTTCGTTTCAGCCATAATATCGCTCGAATTTTCGCTTGTGCCTTAGCTTGATTCCAGGTAATCAAAGCTGCCCCACGTTGGGCGCCATGTAATGAATTATAGCCGAAACTTTGTTTACATAATCCATATATTTCTTCGACAAACACACTTACAAATATACAAACTTACAAACATATCGAAAGTGTTCGTTCTCAAAAACAATGTGCTCAGTCACGTGACTGGCCCGAGTTTAGGTTCAGATCGTCGCCTGCGTGCAGGTCTCGTAGTAATGTTCTTCACAAGCTGGTCGGATCCTTTTTGTTACATCAGATCACCATAAACACGGTGAGAATTTCGGCCTCTATCGAGATGACGGGCAAAACAATTCAATTTTTACATAGGACGAAAGAGCTGTTAGCTTTTCTCACTGCAAAATTCTGATTCTTGTTTTAAGCAAGAAAATACTTGTTTCAGGCAATAAATTACTTAAAATAAGTAAAAAATTACTTGTCCGAATAGTAAGTAAAATATTCTTGCGAAGTATATTTTCCTTAATAAGAATTCTCACCAATAGCGTTTTTCTTAGTTAGAATTCTCGGTAAGATTTTTTTTGTATGAAGAATTGAATTCTTAGCGAGAATTCTTGGTAAGATACTTATTCTTACCAGCAATTATTAGCAAGAATAATTCTTATTAAGAATAAATATTCTTGCCAAGATTCTTGCCAAGGATCCGTGGTAAGAATAAATACTATATTAAAATAGTTCTATATAAATATATGGTTTGAATAACATCAATAGTTAGAAGCCATCCAGCCATGATTATAATACAAAAATTTAAACTAACGAACCATTCATATACTATATATAAAACGAACTAAACAATACTTGCAGTACAATTATATAAAGTCTTAAAGAAGTCAACTGAGGTAATAATGTTTTGTCACAATCCTCATTCGTTACTCTTCTGACATTTTTTAAATGCTGCTAAAGTAGCATTAAATGTTTGGAGATATCCCCAGGTGTTGTCTCATCTTCAAAAAAAAGTAATGCAGTAACGTGAACCCAAGCTCATGCGATGCAGGATAACCTAGGTCAAGTATAGGTAGTACAGGCCAAGGTAAATGATCCTCTCATCATGCTTTACCTTCGAATCGGCGCACAGGTATAGCCAAAAGACATCAGTTTTTAGAGTGCTGTAATTTTGGTGCTGCCAATGAGTGTCCAAGTTCCCATCAATTTTTTGCTACTGAAAAACAATTTGTTGGATTCGAAGATGTAAGTGGAGAGAAGCTTGTTTACTTGCAGCAAAAATTTTAAGAATTGGGTTGTTGCCAGGATTTCTCTTACAAAGTGCTCACAAGGCAATTTCTGTGGTACTGCATGGAACCTCCTAGACGAAGTCAATCCTCCTTTTCCAATATTTGGAGAATTACACAAGATTTGGATTGTCGGTTCCTACATTTATTTTGAAACATTCTTACTAGAAACCGATAGACTAGATCATGTACATCAGGCATATCAAGTGCGAAAGATTGTTCCCGATGCTTTGCGTGTTGGTTCGGATGGCCGGTCTTGTAGACCACAATGTTTTTCATGTTAAACAGGACCATTTTGGTAGGAGTTACATTGCTGTTAAGTATGACATTAATGACATTATGCACGAGTATCTATTTAATATCAACAATAAATGTTTCCTTAGTTCAAGATTAAACACGACGACGCAACATTTCAGGATTTTGATCAATTTAATAATACATAAATGTGATACCCCATTACCAGATAATCTGAAGCTACAAAATACAAATATAGACAATGTTTACGATATAGATCTAAGAAATAAAGTTCTAAATGGCGAAATTAGGTAAACGTACATTTGTCCGACTACGTCCATCGTTTCTAACCTTTCTTCAACAATAAAATTTAAAGACCATGTAAAGTCCGTTCTGCGCATACGTTCTGCGCAGGTTTACATTCCAATGGTCGGGACCCGACCGTTGGAATGTTATTAATATTTCGTATCGTTTGAACTTTCTTGAATTGAATCTCTAGTCTGTATTAATTTCAACATTCATGCAGACAACGTTTTGCAGGCAATTGGTTCCAATGCTGAAAAACTATGATTTCGAATTACAACCCGTTATTTTAGATTCGCGGATGCTACGTAGTTGATTGTAGATTATTGAACAGTCGTGTGCCGTGCAATAAGTTATCCACTAAGAACATACGTTACATTTTGCATTATCTAGATAATTTGATCTGTGGCGATAACAAAATGAAGATATTTATTCGGAAATCACTTTTCAATGTTTCTTCAGCCTCACAATTACAACTGCTGGAAAGTTCATGCAAACCTCTGGAGACGAAGTTCTATTACCTCTTCACTACTTCACTCACTGCATGTGGTACAACTATGACATCAGAGCATGGCGGGAAAACAGTTTCATTTCATAACAAAGTAGTTGAAAGATTGCCAGCATTTAATCAATCCGTTTCAAGATCTAAAGAAATCAATTTTCCTTTCAAATGTAATTATCCTGAAAGTTATCTTCTCTCATCCGCAACGTTTGGTCTCGCCAATTTTTCCGTCTCACCAAACGACGGCGGTGGAAAAGGTAACATGTAGGTAAAAATGGGGCTTTATAAAGATCAGTCGTTTAATAAATCACTTGTTGGAGATCCATCACTGAACGAACGTCTTTATATTGAGGTCGGACTGGAAGCGACAAAGTCGAGTTCAGGAAAGTCACCTTTTGGAATCAAGTTAAATGAATGTTACGTCACTTCAAAGAATCGCTTGGCTGAATATAAATATCTCTTGATTGAACGAGGGTAAGTCGATCAACAAAAACGTTTGAACGATGATCAAATATCTTTTATAAAAGCCAGTACTGTTTCTTCATTTTAATGAAGAATGTGTGCTGCAGTTTCTCCTTTGCATATAGTCAGGAACGTCGTGAAGGCATCAACATCGGGGGGGGGGGGGCGAGGGGGTGTCGTCATATTTTGAACAACGTTTCCTAAAATTTTGACCAAGTAGTAGAAATATTTCCTGAAAATGTTGTCGAGGGGGAGGGGTTGTCAAAAAATTTTCCGGACTAACATAGCAAAGCTTCTGATATATTTCAAGCCAAACTAAGAAGAGGCTTGCAATTGTTTCCACTGAAAACATAACCAAAAGTTAAAAAATTATTCGTGAACATTTCATAATTTGACCATCTTTTATTTCAAACTTTGAGCCAAAATTTTACCAACGTGACCTTCAATTTAGCAAATATTATTTCCATTTGACCAACTTTGGCCGTTTGGGGGGGGGGGGGTGTTACACCCTCCCCCCATCCACCCACCCCCTGTAGGGACGTCCCTGCATATAGTAAAAATAGGAAATAAATACTTTGAAAAATAGGAACTAAATAGCCCAATGAAATAGGAATTAAGTAGCAATTAAATAGTGCTTGATTCTACAAAGGTTGTATAATAAATAGTGCCAGTGTCCAAGGAAATTTGGATCCACCTTAAATATGCCCCAAGGTCAGGTTTCCCATAAAACTGACTTCATGATCACAGGGAGAAATGTTTGCTAGGAAACTATATAGCCTTTTTTTAGAAAGTTATTGCCCTGGCTCTTTTTAGGACTGAACAAATATAAACCTAACTCATAAAACTAGGTCTCTTATAAGTACTAGTTAAAACACGAGCAGCCGATCTTTATCTGATATGCAAACTCGACCCGAAGGCAAGAATTTGTATATCAAATAACGATCCGATGAGAATATTTTAGTACTAGATAAAGCATGAGCAGCCGATCTGTATGTGATATACAAACTCGAGCCGAAGGCGAGAGTTTGTATATCAGATACAGATCGGATGCGAACGTTTTATCGTACTTAAAAAATGTACCATCTTATGAGTTCATTGACGAAGTAATTTTAAAAATAAACATTGTCTAAGCCGAGAAAATCAAAGCTGAAGTTTATGTAAATCAGGACAAATCTGTATCCGATTTACAAACATTGATTAAACATTCATTTCTTTTTTATTTTCCTCGTGAATTATTAATGAATTTTTTAAACGTACTTAAAATACGACCCTTATGAGTTCATGCGAAGTAATTTTAAAAATAAACATTGAGAACATTATCAAAGCTGAAGCATATGTAAATCAGGACAAATCTTTATCCTATTTATAAACACCATTAAACATTCATTTCTTTTGAATTTCCTTCATGAATTATTAATGAGCATTTTAAATATATTTAACAAATCCAAACAAAACAAGTGGTTAATTATAAGTTTTTAAAACTTTATTGTTTAGAAGCTCGATAATATAGAATTGTACAAAGTTAAGATTAAAATTCATTATATAAAAGAAATATATGTTTTGGTCTATATTTAATGTTTAAAAATTGTTATTTTAAAAACCCAAACAATCCTTTAAACAAAATGTTTAACTATAGGTACTAGTACACTCTGGCAATTTCTGTCTCAATATCTATGTTTGTTTCTTTAACATCACATTGATGACATTGTTTCTTTCTCGTTATTCTCGATTTTCGAAGGCATAGGAGATCTAATGAACGAAAATGATATCTTTGCTCTTATCCAAGCCATTGTCTTTGAATTATTAATGAGTATTTTAAATATGTTTAACAAATCCAAACGAAGCAAGTGGTTAATTATAGTTTGTTTAACCATACGAGTCTCGGTTGTGAAGCTGAAGACATAGTAAATCTACAGCGCTGTTTCCACTGGGGGACCAACTAACAGCTGTGTTATGAATATGAATAAGACATCATATTAAACGTAATATGAATAAAACATAACGTAATATTTAACAATTATTGAAAGAGGTTGCGCACGATATGAAGAATTATCAAGCCCGAAGTTTGCCGTTATCAACCGAAGCCGAAGGCTGAGGTTGATAACGGCAAACTGAGGGCTTGATAATTCTTCATATTGTGCGCAACCTCTTTCAATAATTGTTAAATATTACGTTATGTTTTATTCATATTACGTTTAATATGATGTCTTATTAGAATTCATATTATTTATTTAAAAAATTAAAAACAAACGGAAGCCATTTGTATTTTATTTGTATTATGAAAAAACAATTCCTTAGTCCTTCGCGGCAGCCGTCGTGATTGTCATATCAATGGCGTCACCGAGTCAATATGATTCCCGTCGTCATAGTAATATGGCGCAAACGCGTCCAAATTTTTTTCATATTGACTCTTTGACGTCGTCTTGCTATTATGAATGTGAAAAATCCATATTTTGTTAGCCATTGAGTTGATATGACAATTTCACAGTTGGCTGTTAGCCAATCAGAAACCAGGAATTTTTTAAATAAATAATAAATTCAAATTATTGCACTTACTTGTATAAATCACAAGAGCTTGCATTTACAGTGAAAAGCTTCAAACATTGCTTCAAACGACGATTCACAATCGAAAATATTACATGGCGTTCCAACGAAAAAAACAGCAAGGATTGCGGGCGCGCGAGCGGAAAGTGCTTGCGGGCACGCGGTGGGAAAGGCAAGGGGAGAAAAAGATAGAAGGGTTGAAACACCGGTAATGCGATCGTTTGGTGTATTCCATAAGTAGCCTGTTCTCTCGGAAAATTCCGATCATTCACCGGAAATGCCTCCTGGCAACCCCAACAACGCCTACGCGCTTAATTAATGAAAATAAACAATGTTAGCTATATGAAATATTTAAATGAAGCGACCAACGGTTTTTTTACAAAAGCAAAGTAAAATTTACAACTGTTGAGTGTGGCGACACAGATACTGCTTGAAAGTATTCCTACTAACGTCAATAAAAGTGGATTTTCAATTGCACGCAGGTATGTAATGTTTCTGATAAATATTTACAGATTGCATAGGCTTTATTAAATTTAAATAAAATACGTAAGACATTTGAGATTTACCTGTAAAAAGCAAGGTTCGTTCACTTCGTTGACTGCTGAGTGTACAATATTAATTTAGGCCGCTATTTTTGAATATATTGAAATATTTTGTGTGCCTTGGGGTTCAATGTAATTTTGAGACGTATAGATACAGTCAGTCGAACTTGACAAGCATCTATTATCCGTCTAGTTATATTCGTGCGTCTTCAGCATATACACAGGCACAAGACGCATTTTGCGTATAGACGAACAAAATCTGGCCTTACAAAAAATGCGCCGAATCTTCCACGAAGATATAATCACACGCCGAGCAATAGCCGAAGATTGAAGTCGGAATATTATTACGTCACGAGAACAGGCTACTTATGGAACACATCTCGCTGTTATAGATCACATAAATTAGATTGATATGATCAGGGGCCGGTTGTTCAAAAGCTGGTTAACTTTAACTCAGGGTTAGCGCTAACCCTGGGTTAAAATCCTTAACCCAGGGTTAGTTAACCCTGAGTTAAAACTGCGTTGTTCAAAGCTGGGTTAGAGGTGCGGTTAGTTAACCCAGGGTTAAGACATGTAACCCCAGGTTAAATTTGTTTTAAAAATAAATGTAATATAAGAACGTTTTTAATTGGCTGGCCCCGTATCAAAACTAGGGATAGAATGGGATAGATGGGAGAAATATTGTTTAATCAACTAGAAATACATGCATGCAGTAACCCCTCGCCAATATTGCCATACATTAAACATGAAGTATTCAGAAATGACCAGCACTGAACGCAGGCTCGCGCTCAAGTGTTGCCATGACAACACGATATTCTTAAATTTTTATTTTCATATATTTTGTACAAAACTGCAAAATAGTTGAAAGATTCGTACTTTTAACTATACAACAATAAATTTCCGAAATACATACTGTTAGGTATATTATTTTGCATTTTGTGAGCTTTGATTTAATGTAAAATTTAACATGAAACGCTTCGTAAAATGTTTTGAAACGTTCATTCAAGACGTAAACCTACATTTTGCCGATAAACTGTTTTTACTTAACAAAACATGATAAGTTTAATACAAATAATAAAATTGTTAGGTAATTTCAGTTCAGTCTTCAAATCAATTTGTTCGCCTTAACATTTTAAGATTGTTTCTCAAATTAAACGGTAATTAATTTATGAAACTTAAAGCTTCTATAGTTCATTTTTATTTATTACGTAAAAAGTTAAAGCAACAAAATTCGTAAACATTTTAAAAATATTCAAATTGCAGTATATTTCACGATTTCCCGTAGTAAACCAATTCTTCTCATTTCTTCAAACAAAATTGCTTCAAGCTTGTTGTATATGAAACAATTTTCCAAGTATATGTCTTTTAAAATTGAAATCTTGCTTGCCATGCATATTTTTGAGATAAGTGAGGATGACCACCCACTCAAGATCGTCGCTCGTTGGTCAGCGCCCGCGATGATTGATGAACTTTTAGACTTCGCTAATGCTTTCGTTTCCCCGGGTGTAAATAACCGGGGGGAATTAGTACCCTCGCACGGCGCTTCGCGCAGTTGGCTCGGGGACTAGGCAACTGAAATTGAACATTTCAGACGTGGATTTAAGCATTTTGAAAGTTTCAAGAAAAAATATAAATTTAAATAAATCAATTTTGGAATTTTAGGCAGTGCTTGAATAATTAAATTTGAGAACAAAATCACAGCCAATCAAATGAACTTCGAATTATTTTGGAGTTGAAAAGCATTTTTCAACGCATGCGTGATTATTCTATAAAAGTATAAAACAGAACACGAAAACAGAAAAAGAAGCAGCGAAGTTGTTTTAATGCAGCTTTCAAAAACAATTTATTTACTAGTAGGTAATACACTGCGCTGTAAACAGTAGATGTGCAAGAACTTGTGATTGTTCAACAAATGGCAAGTGGAAACTTTGTGCCGAACAGGTGGTGGTATGGCGAATTGTTTGGCAATACAAGTACTTTTTCTAGAGTTATTTTTGAAGAAACTTGAGTTGAATGCTCGGCTTAAATAAAACTACAGTCTACAGTTTTGGTGGCGGCAATCGACAAAGATCTTGTGAGGTAAATCCTTTTATTGTACAGTGTACACAATCTTGATTACGGCATTTGTGTACCAAACTATATTTTGAAAATCGGAAGTACACTGTTTGTTTCACCACGAATTTTACTTGTTTCCTTTTTTCACTCCTTCGATGTCCGTTTTGAATACGAGTTAACCGGCCGATTAGCAAGTTACCCACCTAGCGAGGAGGGTTAAATTTAGCCGTTGTTTTAACCGAGGGTTAAGGATAACCTAGCTTTGAACAACGTAAAGTAACCTAGGGTTAAAATGTAACCCCAGGTTAAGCAAATTTAACCCTAGGTTAGTGTTAATCGGCTTTGAACAACCGGCACCAGTGCTTTTTTGAGAGAACATCGACTGAGCCCTAAAAATACTACAAAGAGATTAAACGGATAGTCTAGAAGTATCTTAAAAAGTCACGTGATATTTGTTTCAACCCTTCCAATTTTTTCTCCCCTCGCCTTTCCAACCGCGCGCCCGCAAGCCCTTTCCGTTCGCGCGCCCGTAATCCTTGCTGTTATTTTCGTTGGAACGTCATGTAATATTTTCGTTTTGTCAATTGATTCGCCATATATGAACAATAATAAACTATGTTGTGAATCATCGTTCGAAGCAATGTTTCTAGGTATTCGCTGTAAATGCAAGCTCTTATGATTTATACAAGTAAGTGCAATAATTTGAATATATTACGTTATGATGTTTTATTCGTATTACGTTTAATATGATGTTTTATTCATATTCATAACACAGCTCTTAGTTGGTCCCCCTGTGCTGTTTCATGTAAAATCTATACCGTTTGCGTTAATTTAGTAACATTATTATTTAGTGATATTTAATTGGTAGCATTATCCATGCATGCATGTATTTTTGAAAATTCCTTTTTCTTATATTTAAATTGCTCCAGATTTTAATTTTAAAAACTTGGTGACCGAAGAGGAGAATTGGTGGAACGTTGTATAGCGATAGCGATTTATAAAAATTGTATACCCATGTATGCGATCCTTTATACCTTAGACACCTAACATCTACATTCCAAACTCTACCTATTAATGAAAGCATATCATTTTGCTTCATGCCTTCTGATGTAGATGCCAAAAAGACAAAACCGTGAAATTTCACAAATCATCAGGAGACACTACAAGATTTAGCTTCCTGGTGTTCCGTTTCCGTGGCTTACATCATTACAGCACACGTGTTCACTGCAGAATAAGTGTGTGTGAGAAAAAGAATAAATCGTGTCATTTGGGATGTCGATCATCAAAGAACGGGAAGCGTATGTTTTCTCCAGCAGATGATCAACGGATCAGATATTTCTTTTAAACACTTGGTAAGTTAATTAAATTTTTCTATATTTTTCATGTTATTGAATGTGTCTTTTGATCAAAAAGGCTTTAAAATTTGGCTATAAATCAGTACATGCAAATTAATTAAACCAAATTTTAGCTCTCAAAAATTACAATATATTTAGAGTTCGTTAATTAAACCCAGAAGAATATCGACAAAAGTATCCGTAGCTGTGAATTTTGTCCATCATTTTATGAATTACGAAATGACTTATAACTTATAAATTATAAAAGAAGTAATAAATTATAGAACTACTAATAAAACTATAAAAATGAAAGAGAAAGCAAAACGAAGAGTAAAGGACATTTTTACCAGGTAATCTTCTGCAAGATACACGAATACATATCGGGAAAAATATGAGTTGATAATGATTTCTCTTGTCTGCGCTATTTATATTATATTGTGGTATTTCCATGCAACTTGCATTGTTTCTATACCAGATGACAGCATTTGATGTAGGCGCAAGTGTGCGAAAATAATCGCCATAATTAAATATCATTTCATGCAACATGTTGAATCGTGGTCGATGTATCGTGGCATATTGAATATTTATCAGGAAAAGTAGGATTAAGAAGAGGGATTTGGCCCAGAGTAGCACTATTTGAAAAACATTTGTAATTTATGAATAACCAATAATTAAGACTATTTACGATATCACGACCGTGATCCACGATATGTGGACACTTGTAGACCGCATTAAAGATCAGTAAGTCACGTTCGAGGGATATGTTTAATTTAAAAACGTTATATGAATACTAATTCTGAAGCAGAGATTTTTTTGAAAGACATCAATACTAATTCAGATTTTGAATGCATGTTAATGAAGCGTGAGATTGTGCCCATGCATGGCCAGTGAATACTAATAATGTAAACAAATAATATAGTAATTCGCGCTCGCCATTGTAAATGCCCAAGAAGATCAACTGCTCACATTCAAACAAGAAAATACATGCATGCAGAAACCTTCGCCTTGCTGACAAAACCATTGTATTTTTCGAACATGAAGTATCTAAAGTAGTTGTCATGGTAACACGAAATTTTTTTAAGAATATTCTTACAAATGAAAAATCGCCTAAAAATAACACTTTTAATTACAAAATTATCAATTTCCCAACATATATATATATATATGTTAGGTATGATATTATACGTAATTTAAGCTTCAATTTAAGGTAAAATTCAACCACAAACGCTTCGCAAAACGTTTTAAAGTGTTCTTTACAAAATTAAACTGCCTTTAATTAAATGGCTTTATCGATAAACTTTGAGTTTGCAATAAAATGATTTCAAATTCTCGCATGCAAATAACTTTGCTTTCTTTTTTTTTTTAAAAACAATATAATAAAAAAGGAAATCAATATTAAATATAAAGATACACTGAAATTATATGCTGTCTTGTTTAGTTGTTTCATGTACGCAAAGGCCGTCGCGTGTTAGAGCAATTTGAAATAAAATCAATATTTTATAAAAACAAACTTACCTTCGTGAACGTCGGCTCCCTTCTTTTAGCCGATTCTTTTGCCCTTTCTTTCTTAAAATTTACAAAATCTTGCAAAAATGAGAGCAAAAATGTAATATATTTGCAAGAAATTTATCAATCATCAAATCAAGAAGTGTTTGAAATTTCCCTGTCCTCATGCAGTCGTTATAATGCAAACTTTAAATTGGACCAATCACAGTGTTCGCTATTCATGGCAGTCCGCCATATTTTTGAGATCAGTGAGCATGACCACCCACGCACAGTGAGCTACGCCCGCGATGATTGGTGAACTTTAGACTTCGTTAGTTCTTTCGTTTCCCTGGGTGTAAATAGCCGGGGGGAATTAGTACCCTCTCATGGCGCTTCGCGCGGTCGGCTCGGAAACTAGTGCTTAATTTAAAATATGCGACATATTTTTTATCCACATCAAGGTTTCAAAATTTGATAAAGTGAGATAATTGATCTATAGAGCTGCGAATCGTCGTTTAAATAATATGTTCGTCAAAGCCATCACATTCTTTTAATATATGGTGTTTACGACTGCGCCTACGTCTTAGAGTTTTTGTGATATATAAATTGATAATTTGAAAATTTGAACTTCATTGCACTTTTTGGCGTTCAGGTTAGCAATTTTTCGCGTTACAGTGAGTCTCAAAGAACTGGGGGCGGTGAAATGGCATCACCACTTGCATGATTTTATTTCGTGATAACAAAAATACATATGATATATTTGAGTTTCGCAATAAAATCGAGTTTAAATTAATTAAATTGGATATTTCTTTAAATTTATCCACATTTTAATTGAAATTTTAAAGTGAACAATCTCAATCAATATCCAAACAATATAGCTTCGGTTATCCAATTGACAGGAAGATCGGGCTAGAAACTAATTTTATGGCCAAGAGTGGTGGTCAAATACACAAAAATCGGGACCAAATGGCAATGAACTGATCGAAGGCTGTTGTCGATCATAGCCCAAGCGAAATCTAGCTCACCAATTAACTAACACTTTGAACTGCGTTCTTCTTCTTTTTACGATGTAGCTTTCCACTACGGCATTTGTGCAAAAATGAAAATGGAACTGGATAACGGACAATGATACTTGGATATACCAATATGCAATTCTCGTCTTCTTTACATAGTGCGAAATTTATATTCATTGACTGTAGAATCAAGAAAACCCTTTAGTTAAACAAGAAAAAGCTGAAACTTGATGAATAAATTAATACACACCTTAAACCTAACGTTGACTTAGTTTTGTTGAGATTTTGAAAATTTGCATGGTTACATATAATTATTCTACTCTACAGTATAAGGGTTCATATAATTTGTATTTTATATAGTTGAGATTAGAAAAGTATTCTAATTTAGATTTTGGGTGATAATTAAGAATGATGTAGTACGTAGTACAAGTATATTAAAATAGAATCAAGCATATCAATTTGAAAACGAACAGCAGTTGTGTTATAGTAGCATAGGCATATACTGCATGAATAAATCAGACTAGAAGACAAGATCTTAATTTCGTTTTGATATAACTCTTGATTTAGACTGATATAAACTTATATTGATTTGTTTGATTGGGAATAATGTAATGGTAATAATAATTGTAATGTGAAAGAATGTTTTAGTAAAGAACCTGTATACGTATTAAAAGTATAAATTATTTTCGAAATGCCAAACCTGTTCCACTGGGAAATAAGATACACTTCATAGTGTAAAATTGGTATATAACTTATTTGAAAAAAGGGTGGTAACCCAAATTCCAAAGATTGATGCGTTTCTGTAAAAGCGTGAAACTTTATAGAACACATAGAAAATATAAGAACTGATATTGGCAAATTGTGCATGTACAGAATGATCCCCGAGACAAATCTTTACAACATGCGTATGTGCTGATTTTCTGCTATTTTCCTTATTCAACAATTATAGACTTCCTTTGGGTTAATTGTTGCCGATAGTATGTAATGAAATTGGAATTGCTTACTTAGAATTAATATAGGAATCCTTAAATATAATAAGACAGCCTTTGCAAATTCACCACAATTCTAGATAGACTGTTAAATTTAGAGAAACACCTGTTAGCATACTCTTTATTTTCCACCATAGACCCCCCTCCCCCCATTCGGTGGTGTAAAAAGCGTCTAGTTAAAAAATCCTGTGCACCGTGGAAATTGGAAAAGCAGTGTTTAGGCAGTTTAGGCGCTTTTCACCATGTACCATCCCTTTCGATTAAAAAGAGACAAACCGGTGAAAATCAATATCCTTCAATGAACTGTGACAAAACGAATTTTTTTTGTTTCTTTAAATCTCCTGAAAGCAAATACTTGCAAGCCAAGTACGTAAAGAAAAGTGCGTAAAGAATAAATACCATATCGCATCAGCAAACTACATTTCGTCAATATTGGAGGTAAAAACCTAAATTCTGTTTGCTTGTCCTAAATATTATCGAATCTATTCAAAACACTTCTTTAGATATTTCTTGTTGTTTCAGTGCAAATATTTGGTATTAAGACCGCACCGTAAGGAGTGATATAAGCACCGATCAACCCTGGCAACCCTGCGCAAGACAGTGCAAAGGGGGACAGTGTGGAAGGATGGTGTGCACGCCTCTTGCCTTAATGCATGCACGACGTCATAATCATATGCGACGATGTCATGTTAGTAAAACGGAAGATAATTCAGAGGTATTGGTCTATATGCCTTTCGCGTAATAGAGTTTTCGGCCAGGAATAAAAGTCGAGTAAATTTGAAGAATATTTAGTTGCATATGAGTAAATTGTTAACACTCCCGAAATTTTTAATACAATAAACTCACGATACGTCCGAAATTATAAATACAATAAATTCGTAACTACACATAAAATCGTTACGGTTAAAGTTAGTATTACAGCAGGTTCAGAGAACCAAGGATACTGAAATGGGAAAAAAGGCGGCCTCTACAAGAGACAGATTCTGAACTTGAAACTAAAATGAAAGTATCTGAATATGGAAGCTGCTTTATTTGTGCTAGACATATCACACTTTTGTTCACTTTTGTGACAATTTATTTTAGCCAATGCCAGATACTCTATTTGGGAGAGTGGGTGCAACTATTAAAGATGAACACTTGCCTCTTTACTGTAGATGTAATAGAAGTGTTGATAAAATATTGCATCAATTCATTTCCTCAAGTTGATCAATTCATACGAATTCAAATTTCTTTTTACTTCTGTTCGTTTCCTTTTGGTCAATCAGTTCTGAAACGAAATCTAATTGGCTCATCTAGAAGTAACAGGAAGTTGATCAATTTTCTATCAAATAAATTGATCAATATTTTGTCAACACTTCTATTGAATCGACAGTAATGGTTTATAAACTGTATAGATATATTTTTGTTTCAAGCTCCTTCGCTTTTCATAATATTGGACTCAAGCCCCTGGTAGGAAGAAAGATGTTGCTTCGTGACCCCCCTCACACCCTCCACCCCCTATTACACATACTTAAGAACTTAAGAGGCTGTCTCCGTAAAAACCTCCAGGTCAATATGGGGCTCAAAAATAGACTATTTCTCTCATTTCTATTTTGAAGATCTATCCTTGGGAACAACTAAAATCGATTTCGTTTTACTGAAATTTCCTTTAAATTATTTTTGGGGGCGATTGATGTTCGATGGGCTGGTAACCAACTTGAACTCCGAATGAAGGCAAAATATCGACATATTTTCAGCGCTAAATTTCAAAATTTTTGCACAGAAATATAGACTTTCGTTGGCGATATGACTTAGATAATTATTCTTTGGTATAAAAAAGAAAACAGCGCAGTTATTGACCCTCCTGAACGGATAACGGATATCGTCTCAAAATATATCAACTTTGAAAGCTTATTTCAAAATCGTGGCACTTGAATGGCACATGACTTTAACTTTTCTATAAACTACTAACATTAGTCAACACAAATCGCCAATAATATCTTTCTGATTTACCATTTGACAAAAATGACAAGCGCGCAAACTTTGTAAACTTTGAACTGAATGTGTCGAAATCTGGCATACTTTATCGGTAAACCTAATTGTTGATGTTAACAAATAAAACCACCTTACACTACACTGAATGAAGCTTGATTATGTAAATATATGTCTTTCATCATTATTCTTTCATTTTGTACTCGAAAAAAATTGTTTGAGTACAGTTTGGCTTCAAGGATAGTCATTCAATGCCAGTGTGTGACCAGTGTGTTCGAATTCTGCGCGCCTCAATGTAGCCTGCTCACAGACGTTGTAGTTCTTATGCCAAGCAACGAAATACTACCGTCTGCTTACCCCAGCGCCAAACTGAATTCGCTATGTCGACCAATCAGAATTTACCTTCCAAATTCTGGAAAGTGACGTCAGTTGATTTAGGAGCGGAATAAATATAAATATATATTTTGAAAGCAGTCGTCGGTTGAATTTTGGTCAAAATTGCAGATAAATTGAATTTAAAGACACTGATACTTATCCAGGTAATAAAATGCACCATTAATGATCATATTTGGATATTAAAGATGTTCGGTTATATTTAAAACGCGGACAGGATTGGCATATTATACTGTATGAATCTTAGCCAAACAGCATGAAATGCCAATATATTTCGCTTAAATTTTAACGGTTTATCTTTATAAGACGACAGAACTCGGAAGACAGAAAATTTTTTATAATACTGTGGCTTAGAAAGCGAAATAATAGCTTCAAAGTAAACTAATTTGCTGTTTGAGCAACCACTTCTGAATATAATCTGTAAACACAACACAAACCCGAGAAACTTGTATTAAAATTGCGCTGTGATGAATTTTCCAATTCGCCCAAACTTCGAAACGCTTATAGGCTACTCTAACTTGGCTATACTTTTCTACATGACAATGAGAACTTAATCTTTTAGACGTTTTCGTCGAAGTCATGGCATATAGGAAGTATCAAGAGCAACATTTGGACATATCCTGAATACGGCTCGAGTTTCCCGATTGATTGTTTGTCATTGTTAACAAAAATTTAAATTTTGCCTACTGCATTGCCTTAGCACTTTATATACAACGATTGTTTGCTGAACATGCGAGAAGATGATCACAATATTATTCCACGTAAACATCGTGAAGTTCAACGCTATAGTTTCTAAAATATATCCACACAAGTAAACAAATTTCAAGTTTCAACCCAAACAATATATTCCAATGCATGTGCAAGGGCTTTCCCCAGTAGCTAATCTCTCAATAAGCTAGGCAGCTTCCAATTGGCTCTAACTTTTTTGAGCACTGCCAGATGATTGGCTCCTAAAACAAAGGGAATTGAATATGCAGCTCGGGTAAGCAGACGGTAGTATTTCGTCGCTTGGCCACAGGGGGTCCAACTTAGAGCTGTGTTATGAGTATGAATAAAACATTAATTAATTAAACGTAATATGAATAAAACATCATAACGTAATATATTTAAACTAGAAAATACATGCATGCAGAAACTCTAGCCTTGCTGACAAAACCGTTGTATTTTCCGAACATGAAGTATCTAAAGTAGTTGTCATGGTGACACGATAATTTTTTAAGAACATTCTTACAAATGAATATCGCCTAAAAATATCACTTTTAATTACAAAATTATCAATTTCACAACATATATATGTTAGGTATGCATGTAATTATACGTAATACAAGCTTCAATTTAAGGTAAAATTCAACCACAAACAATTCACAAAACGTTCCAAAGTGTTCTTTATAAAACTAAACTATTAAATGGCTTTATCGATAAACTTTGAGTTTGCAATAAAATGATTTCAAATTCTCGCTTGCAAATAACTTTGCTTATTTTTTATTTAAAAAATTCAATATAATAAAAAAGGGAATAAATATGAAAGATACACAGAAAAAAAATATGCTGTCTTGTTTAGTTGTTTCATATACGCAAAAGCCATCGGGTTTTAAAGCCATTATAAAGTTACCTTCGTTAACGTCGGCTCCCTTCTTTTAGCCGATTCTTTCGCCTTTTCTTCCTTGAAATTTATAAAACCTTGCAGAAATACGAGCAAAAATGAAATATATTTGCAAGGAATTTATCAATCATCAAATCTTGAAATGTTTGCTATTTCGTTGTCATCATGCAGTCGTTTATATAATGCAAACTTTAAATTGGACCAATAAGTGTCCGTTATTCATGACAGTCCGCCATATTTTTGAGATCAGCGAGGATGACCACCCATCGTTGGTGACCGACGCCCGCGCTCATTGATGAACTTTAGACTTCGCTAATGCTTTCGTTTCCCCGGGTGTAAATAGCCGGGGGGAATTAGTACCCTCGCACGGCGCTTCGCGCCACCGGCTCGGGAATTATTGCACTTACTTGTATAAATCATAAGAGCTTGTATTTCCAGTGAATAGCTTCAAACAGGGCGCTTATATATGTTCAGAAACATTGCTTCAAACGATTGTTCAAAACTTCAAATATGGCGAATAAATTGAAAAAACGAAAATATTACATGACGTTCCAACGAAAATAACAGCAAGGATTGCGGGCGCCAGCGGAAGGCAAGGGTAATAAATACATTGAACAATAAATAACTGGAAGGCTAACTCCTATGATGAAAGTCTATGATTCGTTGAAGCCGGCGCACGGGAAAGTCAGCTTTCAAAAGGACTAAGGAGAGTTTCGAGGAGTGAAAGAAATTGGATCAAAAGTTGGTTTTTGAGCAAAAACACTTTTTCCATGGGAATACAACAATGATTGGGATTCAAACCAGGTTTTCCGATTAGTTCCAACTGTTTTACATCTCTCTGCACGAAAAAGTAAGGAGTTTTGCTTTTGTTTTTTGAAAAAATGACGAAAGTTTGGACGTGCCGAAGGAAACCTCGCTCATCAAATTAAAAAAATATACTATAAAACATTTTGACAGTCCCAAAACGAATGTTGTACTAAACCCCATGTATTGTTATTGATCCTGCAGAGCTTTTAGTCCTTGTTTTAGTCGTTCTTAAACATGAATAACTTGACGTTTTTTAAGTGATGTTATTTTCGTCATCGCATCTTGTTGGCCACTTTGAATATGGCAATATTTTGTCAATTTCTAATGCTTTTTTTTACCTTAAAACGTTCAATCCGGCTTGAAACTTCGTATATAGATGTATCTTACATGGGTTTAAATAATTCCTGAGGTATGACGTCTTAGTTTTATCTTAAACTTTCAAAAACTCAGAAAAAGCAGCCTAAAACGCGCGGTTTTTCATACCGTTCATGCTTATGGTCGTGTTTTTTCGTATTTTTTTGCTAATTTGTGATTTGTTTGCTTTGCGAATATTAAATTCGTTTATCATACTACGGATATAAATTAAATTTGGTGGCATAACTAATATTTTGGGGCAAGATTTTTCTGATAAAAAATGTGCATATTTTGAAGAAAAAATTTTAAAAAGGACTGCGTCTACCTACAAAAAAGCTTCAAGCACGGTTTCAACTCCCCCCCCCCCTGACTTAGTCTTCCAGTTATTTATAGTTCAATGAATAGATATTAATAGAAGGGATGAAACACCGGTAATGCGATCGTGTGATGTGTTCCATAAGTGGCCTGTTCTCTCGGAAATTCCAAAATGCCTCCTGCCAACTCCATCAACACCTAAGCGCTTAATTAATGAAAATAGACAATGTTTAGCTATACCGGCTAATATGAAATATTTAAATGTAGCGACCAACGGACTTTTTTACATTATTTAGTTTTATTATTATTTAGTCATACGTCAGGAGAACAGGCTACTTATGGAACACATCTCGCGATAACGGCCAAGAATGCTCGCTGTTATAAATCATAAAATTAGATTGATCAGTGCTTTTTTTCGTAATGACTATAGGCTTCTTCATATAAGAGAACATCTACTGAGCCCTAAAAATACCACAAAAAGCTTAAACGGATAGTCTAGAAGCATTTTAAAAAGTCACGTGATATTTGTTCCATCCCTTTTATTTACTTCTTCCCTCGCCTTTTCGCTCGCGCGCCCGCAATCCTTGTTATTTCGATGAAACGTCATGTAATATTTTCGTTTTGTCAATTTATTCGCCATATTTGAACAATTGTTTGAAGCAATGTTTCTGGACATATATAAGCGCCCTGTTTGAAGCTATTCACTGAAAATTCAAAGCTCTTATGATTTATACAAGTAAGTGCAATAATTTAAATATATTACGTTATGATGTTTTATTCATATTACGTTTAATTAATGTTTTATTTATACTCATAACACAGCTCTTAGTTGGACCCCCTGTGGCTTGGCGTAAGAACTACAACGTCTATGATGTGGCGTTCATAGGTGTATACTGTATTGATGTAAAACCTATATTATAGTAATAGGATTAAGCGGCAGAGACTTTGCTGTTTCCTGACTATCTACAGTTGTTGATTGGTAAATAACGTAGTTCCTTCTTCGGAAGAGTCTCCCACCCGTGCTCCCACGGAGTGTTTTATGATAGATAAGATTGTGTTTCATGAATAAAGGGTTCTCCACTCTGGCCTTGATTACGAGCGCTTGTTGTGTACCATCGCGGCACGTTACAAATTTTGTGGCAGCGGTGGGATAATGATCGAAGACGCGCAATAGCCGCAATCAAGGCCATGGTATTAAGACAAGAGTAAGACAAACCGAGCGGGCAACCAAGCGGAGAATGCAGTCAAACATTTGGCGTCGCAAGTTGGACTGTGTTCAGTGGAATAGGTGGACCGAGAGGAGATCCAGATCGTCGATGTTGGTCGAGCGGCGATCTTACCAAGACCAAACAAGGACTGTCCAAAATTGAATTAGTGAACTGTCTGTGTCACTGTGTGTGAGTTATGCGTTTCCTTTCCTGTATACTGTGTATTTTGACTTTTGAGTTTGAAAATTTCCCGTGTTGTTATGTGCTGTGTATGAATCATCAGAAGTAAATCGTCCATCCAGTGTCACCTGGCAAGAATATGTTCCTACCAGCTGTGAAGTCCTGGCGTTTTCTGCGTTGGTTCATCCTTTCTACAGTTGTATTTGACTTTCGTGTTGAACTGATAATTATGTTATATGTATTGTTGCTTTCAAGACATTTTATATCTTTAAATTAGAGAGGTAAGAGAGCATACATTTGTTGAGCGCGTGAACGGTATATATCATAGTAGCTTCGATGGAAGCACAAAAAAATAGAGATGTTCAAGAAAGACAGTTATGTTGGCAGAGATAGCGTCAGTCCGGTATAGTAACGGCAGACCAACGATAGAGCACAATTGATGCCGGACATAGTCCTGTAGAGTAGGGACAAAGAAAAATATTTAAGGAAAAATGTGCTCAAAGTTGCTAGTTAAGTGATATGGTGTTACCTGGCGATTTATTTTTTTGTATATTAGGCTTGTCGTTTATGTATATATTCAATTTTCGGGACGAAAACAATAAGTGAAGGGATATTGTGGCGTTCATAAGTGTATACTGTATTGATGTAAAACCTCAACCTCGTCTCCAGGGTCCTCTTCGTACATGGCGCGTGAAAAATGAGAAGACCCTGGTAAAGGCTGCGAAAATATCCACGATTTATGGACATTTTAGTGCATGCGCAAAAGCGAATTTGCCTTGGCGCTGACCAATTCATTGCTGGCGTACACATTTTTCATGGCCTTCTTGAGATGAAATATTTCAGTTTGGAAATGTATTTTTTTGCTAAACTATACCTTTAGATAAGTAATTTCTCTTCAAAAATAAAGATGTCTGGAGAGAGAAAATAACAAGAAGCTAGCACGTCTAATTTTTATCTTCCTGGCCGAAGAATCCGCGTTGTTTGTCATGTCTCACGGCTGCTTGCACTGGCAGTCTGACAGCACTGTCACTGTGAAGGTAATTGAAAAATTACAATATATTATTTTTATTCATATTATAATTCAACAATAATGGCCCTATGACTGGTGCTAATATGCCTACAAAGTATTTTTTTAAAGCGCTTAGTTTTGAGAAATTATAATTTGATATAAATGAAAATTTACTAGTGGGCCATCCATAGACTCATCACTAATCCATTTTACACTGTGAACGTTGCACTTGTTCAAGTTATTTTGACTAAAAGTTATCGCATGTTAATAAATACTCTAGTATATAATAATACTGTAATTTATAGTTTATTCCCTTGGAGCATGCAAAGTGCTTACATGTGGAATAATTTGCCTTAGATCCACAGCTCTCACATAGATTAGAACTCCCATAATTCCTTTTACACATCCTAGTACATTTTACTATTCTAAAAGTGCATTTCCCCATCCCTTTTCAGACAGCAGAAATTTCATTTGTATTGCAAATTTATATTGTGCACTGAATGGTGAATCAGTAAAACTAAAAGATTGCCAAACAGTTTAGAGATAGTTTTGTTCAAATGTAACTTATGTCATAAGTATGTTTCTCCCTCAATTAGAATAAATCTACTGTTAATAAATTAATTGGATAGATTTAGTGTAACATATAGATTTAGGTTTCCAGTTTGTGAAATGAAATGCAAATCAATTGTATTATATTTTAGATACTCATGCTTCTCAAACATCAATACGGATAAAACAAGGACTGTCAAGAAGACTGCAACTGTATGTGTACAACTTAATGGGATGGGAGTTGGTCTTCACATATAGAAATGTTGATAATATTGAGATTATTAAGAAAACCACAAAGTCAACAACTATCCTAGATTCCATAATATTAGGAAGCTGGCTCAACTATACTTAATATTCTGGTAATACTCAAGAAAGTGACATGGCAATTCAACAATGCATATACAACAGAAAGAGATATTTCCATACCAAGACAATTCTTACTGAATTAGTATTTAGCTGATATTTCATTTTTTACAGTATTTAAAGTTATATACAGTGCTGTTTTAAGTTAAATAACAAAGTTACTTGGTTCAAAATCTGGTCTTTGTTCTTCCTTCTCTGTACTATGCAAGGGTAGAGAAAAGAGGTGGTAATATGCATCCTCACATGCGGCTGTAGGAACTCTCACTCATATGGAAAACGAATTGGATCATTCCAGAAAAGATCCATACTCCCCCCACGGAGGAAATTTCTGCCGTCCGGAGGGGGAGGGGAGAAAAATTGTTTCTGATAATAGTAAATGTATTAGGACATCCAAAGGGGGTTAACTTCCTATTTCCTCTGTGGGGGTGGTATGGATGTTTTCTGGAATGACCTATTCTCAGTCATTTCAAAAAGTAAGCCTTGGAGCTTTTTGGAAATTGATTTCATTCATGCTTCAACAACCGATCTCCTGCATGTACATCATTGCAAAATGTGCAGCCAGCCTGCAATGTCCAAACCACAGTTGTCCACAACATTTGTTCTCATTGAGCTGTCCATTGATGAGGAAGTGTAGTGTGGAGACAAACAATTTTGATTTGGCTGCATTTATTTGAACACTTGCTTTATTATACCTCCCTCACTGATTCAATAGTTGCTAATGTAAATTTGTACTAGCTCTGCAGGACAGATGTGTTCAATTTTTCCTATACGGTATGGAATAAAGATCATGCTGTTAGTGTTACATGCAGGCAAATGGTAATTCACAATGATGTAAAGGCTAATGAAATTCAATTATGGGTTGTCCATAACTACCAACATTTCCTGAAGTGTAGAAACTATACGCTTCAGGTAGGCAGGTTCATAACCACTATATGCTTTTTAAATGTTGAACTATAGACCCACCATCATTGGTTAAGTCGCTGTGGGAGGGGGTTGAAAAGTGTACTCTCTGTACACCTGTGATAATTATGGATGATTTACAGTGTAACACTAATGCTAGATTTAACTGAAAATAATTTTATAGTTATGTTGAATATATTGGAATGTTCCATTTGTGGAGGTCAGTGGCATATATTTTTGTGGAAAATTCAAGTAGCTGTGCTCCAGCAGCTAGCTCACTAGCTGCAGTGCCACAAATTATTGACACAACCAAAATTTTAATATTGCATGGGATCTTTATAGATTCGCTTTTATATATTTCCTGGTGTCCTATGAGCCCAGCAAGAACTGCTTACTTTATTATTATAATTTAAACATGTAACAATTATGCTATACAAACAGCAATCGTTCTGTGCGTCTATTTCTGCTATAAAAATGCATATTCAGCTGAGACTGATATTAAACTGTCACTTGAAGCAGACAAGAGGTGTTCGTATTAAACAAGTGGTAGTATTTGAGAGAAACTAGAACGTCACAAACGCAAGTGGTTCTGTGGTTTGTTTGATCATACAGTGTGTGTGTATATTTCATACCTTCGATAACGATGTGAACATCAGCTGTCTCAACTTTGAAGTACCAAAATGATGTCTATATTTATTCACACTACGATGTCCATTATATATTGTGCCTGATATTAGGCTGAAAGTTGGAAAATATTTGCCAGAAACGAGCTTCGCGCCTTGGCGAAGCATGCATTTTACTGTAAAGCAAATTATTGTTGTGAAAATCCTTATAAATCATGCAACCAATCGTAGCGCTCATTACAAGAAGTATTTAGCGGTAAACCAATCATATTCATTGTAACAACATCCTCAAAGCACATGTCAAGGTCAAATGTATAAACCAATCACAACGGAGTTTAGAAGAGCCTTTACCAGGGTCTTCTCATTTTTCACGCGCCATGTACGAAGAAGACCCTGGGGACGAGGTTGGGTAGTCAGAACATTTCAGAACAGTCATGTGACTCTCTTCTGTTCCGATCCGTGAAAATCTGGAGTACTCGGCCGAACAGTAAATGGAGCAGCTTGCGGGGGACAACCTTAATTGAAATAGCTGTATATTATATGAACCTAACAACACGAAAGTAAATAATATCATAGCTACCTCGATCGAAATCCTTTGTCTCGCGAGATGCGATTGATGACTAATTTACTCATTGCTAAAACATGAGAGATGATTAGAAACTAATCATCCCACGTGGGACGATTAGTAATAGTTACTAATCGTCCCTCATCTTTCTGCATAACCTCACTGATGTTCAATTAAATATTTAACAGACATGGAAAATCAACCGTAACCTCTTTAACGGACATCCCAATACTCATTGGTATCAAAAAGCAAACGCGCCTTTTCATTTCAACTTATTATAACAATCGAATGAAACCGTTTTATTGTCTCGGTAGCTATGATATTACAAAGTGATAGCATGGCATTACGGTCGATTAGTGATGAAATGTTTCTTAACTTGAGCCTCGAGAGGTTTACTAAACCTCTCTCTTAATCACTAATCGACCTGAAGCCATGCTATTCTTACAATAAATCCTGGGCTGAAGGAAAAAGTGAAGAACCGTAGGGGCGATATCACAATTTCCGTACTTAATATTTGTAAATTATTTCACAGTACTATAGATATACTAATAATATAAAATAATAGTTATATATATAGTTTTATTGCATGTATTTAGACGGTTTATTAATTTATTCGTATTAGCTGGACTAAGCTGCATGTTGCATGCAATGAAGTAGGGCTATGGCTCTCTTACTATTTACTGGTAATAAAGTGATTGAAACAACAAAAACAACGGCATGTCATACAGATTTTACAAAAGAAGTAGTTTCCTTTATACAACAAATAAAATGACCTTGTAAAACAAAAAGACGCTTTGTTAAACAAAAGGCATCTTTGTTTCACCACCTGCATGCTAACAACAAACTTACAGCCACTGGAAGTGGCGCGGAAAAGTTCAATATTTATATAAACTGTTTCACATGCAAAGATCGTTACTTTTAACGTTAAAATCCAGGGATTTGTTGTAAGTATGCTTCATGAAAAATCATTGTTTCTAATCTAGAGCACCGTAACAAACTAGCACTGTTAAGAAACGTTTAAAACTTTTCTGTAAAACGTACGTGGCTTGCAGCATTCATGTGTGATTCGCATGTTTTGGGGGTTAGATGGAAAACACGGAGTCGGAGTTCCGGAGTCCCGGAGCCCCGGAGTCGGAGTCCCGGAGTCTGACGTCATAAAAATATGGAAAACACGGAGTCATATGGAAAACACGGAGTCTGACGTCATAAAAATATGGAAAACACGGAGTCATATGGAAAACACGGAGTCTGACGTCAGAGAAAATATGGAAAACACGGAGTCATATGGAAAACACGGAGTCCACCATAAAATATGGAAAACACGGAGTCTGACGTCAGAGAAAAATATGGAAAACACGGAGTCTGACGTATTGTCAGCGTGAAATATGGAAAATAGTAATTAAATAATATATCATTTATGCGAAATATATTAACGAATTGGAAATTTTCTGCACTAATTCTGGTATTTCTCTAAAATGTCGTGAAAATATGGATTATTTATTTTTAAATACAATCAAGCAAATAATATTGTTTCTCTTGTCGTGTGACTTGTTCAGTTGTACAATAATTTGAAGTGATTTTAA